TGAAAGGAGGGTCAGGAATTCAAGAAGTAAAGATGGGGCTGAAAAACAGGAGATCGACTTAGCTTCTTGTGTGGCAGTCTTGGCTCAGATGGTGAAGAGCAAAGTTGGAGAGGGAAGAATCAAGGTTGTCAAGTTGGCTTTAGAACCTAAAAGCCAGATTGGTGTTGCAGCTTTCAATGGAGTCTTCTCTGCTTGAAAATTTTTTTCCTCTTCTTTCGTTCCGATTTAATTTCCAAAATCATTGCTCCAAAAGAGTTGTCGATAAATACCCATTTCGCTTTGTCATTTTCGTTTGTAAATTCTCATCTTTGTTAAGAAGCAAAATTTCTGCTTTTATGATGGTATGTGATCCTTGCTTCTAACTGGGATCCCAATATCTCTGGATGTCTGACATGACTTATCTACGCCAAAATCCTGTATCAAATTATGATTCAAATATTCATAGATGAAATGATGCGAATTAATGGGCAGTTTAGATATATCTAATGAAGCCAATTAAACACACAAGTTTCATTTTCAAAGAAAGTACTGGAATCATTTACACTCTTACTTCAGTTCTTGCCTTTCTCTTTCTCTGGGCCGCTGCAACCAGTAAAGCTTAAAGCATCCCAAGAGGACAACATGGCTAAACGTGATTGGGAGAACTGAGAAGATGTGAAGAATGTTGAGACAACATTTAAAAGCTTGAAAGTTACTTGTTCCTACTTCAACCACTTTCATTTACAGCACTCAAAGCTGGTTCTAAAAAAAGGAAAAAATGAAAAAAAACGTGTCAGAGGATATTTTAGTAGTGTTTATCTGCCTTGGAACGTGCTGTTAGTACCCATGAGAAACTTTTTTGTCTTGGAAGATACTGTTAGTACCCACGATAAACCTTATTTGCCTTGGAATAGACTGTCAGTGCCCGTGATAGACTTTTTTGCCTTGGAATACACTGTTAGGCCCCACGAGAGACATATTTGCCTTAGAATATACTGTCAGTACGCATGATAGACGTATTGCGTATGTCTTGGACTATATACTTCATAGCTACCTTGTTGGGCTAAGCCCACACTATGTTCAAAAAAGATAAAAAAAAAACTTATTTCTAGAAACTTTTTAATCAACAAACATGTCTCCGTTTTAACAAACTAGATAAATTAAGAAAAATATTTTTTAAATAAGAATTATTAACTATAATTAAAATTTTTTTTTATGAATTGGATAAGGGTTATTAATTGAAAATAATTAAAATATATAATTTAAAAATATAATGGTCAAATAATGTAAAATTTTACCAATATTCCTACTTTATATATTTTAAATATAAATATAGATAGATAAAACCTTTAACATATCTAAGAAAGGTACAAAAAATAGATAAGTATATAAATTTAGAAGATAATAGTGAATAAGAGCCCAATAGCTAATAATGGGCTTAAATGAGCTACACGTGGGCTTTGTATAAATTGGAGAAGTAACAGTCTCTTATGGGATAGTTAATTAATTTCTTCAATATTATATTTTTATTTCTAAGAAATAAAATAATTAATTCAAAAGAAACTATTAGCCTATGCATGCCCAAGTTAACCTATCTAACGTATACTTTCTTCCCCTTAGAATTGTTTATTAAATAAGACATATTTGTGAAATTTATGGATTCCTGGTATTGACGTGAGAGAGGCAACTTTACTCTTGTTTGACATTTCTTTCACCCGTATACAATTTTTTTTTTAATTTGTCATTTTAGTTTATAAATAGTATATAGAAACCGCTCATAAATTACCTCTTACAATTAGTAATAAAAATATAATGTAATTCTCTAGCAGGATAAAATACCCTTATGATATTATAAGATTAATATTTTTTTTCATACATTAGTGATAGAATTTACATTAAAATTTCACAAGCACGTTTATATGCTTGAGATATATACTAAATCAAAAATATAACTGACCAATTCGAAATTGATTTTTTTAATTATTACAATTAAATAGACGTATAACAAGTGTATATATATCAAGTTACTTTTACAATATTTTGAAATTATATTAAAATATTTGTTTTAATAATAAGTGAATATATAATACACTTTTACTTAATAAATTAAATTTAAATTTTTTTTCTTAAATGAATAAAACAAGAAAATGTTACAAAACCGACATACGTCTCAAGTAATAATAAGCCAACAAATTTTAAAAACTTTGATAAAACTTGTACAACTTTTAGACCTAGAAAATTTATGACAATTGAATCATGATGCTTAACGCATGTGATTATTATGTTAATCCTTTAACCCACCATTTATCACAATGATTTATCATGTCATCTTGTCTAGGAGAGAGAATGATTATGTTTTGTAAGACTCCATCAGCCATGGCTTAGCTGCTATACAAAAGTAAGGCAAAAAAAGTTAAGAAAGGCATAATTACTGTTTCTAAAAAGTAATGCATGATTAGTAACTGAGAATCTGATTAGTCCAATCTACAGTTATTAAAGTGAGTATAGAGCGTTTTTCAATGTTTATTTAATTATTTCTTTTGTTTCAAATTTTTAGATAAATTGTACATATATAAAATAAAAGATAATTTCTTGAAAGTTGAAATAAGGCAAGGGGATATTTAATGTAATTGTATATAAAATAAAAGATAGAGAGAGAAAAAAGAATGGGATTAATGCTTTGCAATAAAAAGCCTCAGAAAATGTTGAAATTGAATGTGACATCAATTATTAAGCATTTCCTTGATGAACTAATGTGGCTTCATATAATGATTCTTCATCCACCACTCCTTTTCAGCCTTTGCATTAAACAAGCTCACCCTTTCACTGTGCCCAGGCACCTTTCTCTTCGTAAATTTTACTTTCACTTTCACTTTTTTTTTTAATTGCCTATTTGTTAAATAAAAAATAATATATCAATCAACAAGTTAACTGTTGGAGTGTTATTTTCATTTTTATTGGAGATAAGACTTAATTAAGCTTTTCTATGCCAAATTCGTGAGATATTTTTTAAATGATTAAATAAATTTTAAAATTAAAATTGTAAATCAATAAATTGAAAACTTTTATTCCATAAAATTTGGAAAAAGAATTAAATAAATTTGGTACTTTATTTATATAGATAATTTTATTAAAAATCATGATAAATTTTTTTCCATTTAAGATGTAATAATCAAAATTTGAATATAAATATTTTTAATTAACTTTTTATATATTATTGATTTTCATATTCAATGTTATCAATTTTTTATTTTGATTTTTAAAATTAATTTTTATTTGATCGTTTTGAAAAACAAACTTTATGAACTTAAACGTATATAAATTTATCTAAATTATTTCCCATTTTTATGAGATATAAAGACAAGACGGGAAGGTTCAAATTACAAAAAATATTGTAATATACACAAAGAATTGTATTAACAAAGTGTTTTAGAAACACTTGTTAAAGTTACCACATTATATTATATATATCTATATATATATATATTGTATTAAGAGTAAACTATTACTGACTTTGGGCAGGTTTTGCCCCTTCCAAGGATATCTCCCTGTGACTAATAAATTCTCTTTTACTTTTCCTCGAAAGGGCATCAGAGATAATCAAGTGACATGACCTATCATTCCACACTTACAGCATTTAATGTGAGCGACAACAAAATCACTGATTAATAATAATTATAATCATAATAAAACCCAAAAAGCTGGAGGCCACAATTTCTGTGACCAACTCCCGTACATTTTGGCCACAAGCCTTTGATTTGATCATGAGATTTACCCAATTCCTAGGCGGAAGGTAAAATTATGAATAAAATAAGTATTTTTAATTGAATGAGCTTTTTTTTTTTTCTACTTTAGGTTCAGGGGATTGAATTTAGAGAGAATAAAAATGGACAAAATTACCCACTTCCCTTGCCTCTTCCTATTTTCCTCTTACAAAAGGAGAGAGAAGATGAAAGGAAACACCATTTTCCTTTCAACCCTTTTCTTCCTTCCTTCTTCCCTCCAGCCAAAACTAGATGTAACATATAGCAATGAATATAGTCCATGCCTCTGCCTCTGGCATTGACCTTCAACAGCTAAAATATAGAGAAAAGCCAGGTTAACTATGTTCAAAATATTGTTCATTAAGGGGATCCATGGTGCACAATATGTTAAGTAAGGACCACTGACCATGATCTCATACTCCCAGATCAATGAGGTATCCTGTCGTTGTGTCTAATTTTTTCTTTTATGAGGGGCTTGAAAGAAAAGACAAAGGTTTGCACAACCAACAATCTTAAGGAAGAATATGCCTACGCTGCAAAGCAAAAGCACGAGGCTTCTGGTTGCAAAAATTAGGTAGGAAATACAGACGCAACATCCCCCTCCTCTACTTTTTTCAACTGGTAATTTCCAAGAAATCCCTGGGGTTGAACAAGTTAGGAGAAACCCAATCCAAATGCAGGTCAGTAAAACAGTAAATCCGTAGTTTCTTTCATAGTTGAGTAGGAGGAAATGGATTTGAAAGTGGGGGCATCATATCTGATTTGAAAGGAAAATATGAGACTGAATTAGGCCATGACTTAGCACTGTTTATTTGTCAGTGTCAGAAATCCTGCATCAAACCCTCCAGTCCCTTAATCAGCAAAAGTAAAAAAAAGGCACCAACACTGTCTTCACCTACCAATAACCTTCTTCAGAAATTGGTAGTTATTGATTTGAAGGCATCTATAGGGTTTTGGCAAGCCTACCTACTTCGGCAGTGATTTAAGCATTGCTAGCTACCGTCAAGCTGATTCATAAATTAGATCATCAACCCTCTATGTACTGTTCCAAGATGTATGAGAGGTGGGCTTGTTTTCTGGCTCTTGATTATCCCCTTTGAATGAAAACTAATAAACACCCCAACTTTCATACCCAAAATAAGGATGACAGTTTCGCACGGTACAAAAATTTCTGCACATCTTCCAATCAGGGGATTTGTGCTAGTTGGGGCACACAGACGCATAGATTAGCCCAGAAAACAGAGTACAGAGAGGTAATTGAAGCCATTGCCAATATAGATATATATACATAAAATCAACTAAAATCTACATCAAAATTTACCCAGAAGAAAAAACAGAGAAAAATTATACATAAAATTCTTTCTACTTATAATATTGTACCGAGTATCGGTGCTTCTGTCAGCCCAAATAATTAAATAAGAACTTAACAATCCTAGTAGTACAAAAATCAGAACAATCTGTGTAAACTATTACCATGTAAGGCAGATAACAAGAAAATCATCTCTTCATCACTCCCATCATACTCTACCTGATTTTGCAGCCTGTGGTAGTTAGCCACAATCTCGTCTGGCAAAACTTTAGTCCGGCAAAGTGGGCAAGTAGCCCAATACTGTTGAAGCCACCTATCCAGGCAGTCCTTGTGGAAAGTATGCTTACATTTCAATTTCCTAACTTTTTCACCTTCTTCCAGCTCTGATAAACACACCGCACATTCATTTGACTCCAGCCTCGACGATGATCTACTCGAGTAACGAACCGTCGGGTTCTTTTCTTCAATGAATTTCAGGTACTGTGTGGTTGTGATCAGGCGCTTCTCAGAGTCGCAAACCCCGCCGGTGACGGACCTGATAAGGATCACAACTTCAAGGAGTAGGAGAGTGAAAAAGACTATGGTCATGGTGTAGAGGTGGGAGAAGAACTGTGAGAGAGCAGCCATGGCCGACGGTAGGGGAAGCAAAAATGAAAACAAAAACCAAGAAAAGAAAATGATGGATATGGAAATCAGTAGAATGACTTTATTTATATATATTTAACAGTGAATAAGGTGCGGCGAGTTTCTTTTATACAAGTATATTAATGTTACATTACTTTTACATTTATTCTGTGGATACGGATGTTTTTGACTTGCTAACTCATGGTTCGATCCCATGACTTATCTCTACTGGTGAAGTTTCTCTCATACAATTATATGGGCAACCTATTTTTGTTCTTTTCTGTATTTAAGTTCCAATTTTGAACATTATTTTTTATTTATTAATCACTCCCTTTCAGGGTACAGTAAATAAATTCTTCAATAATTGGATTAAAAAAAGTAAAATTAAATTAGTTTTTTTTAAAAATTTTTTTTATGAAAACCAAAAGGGTTATCCTAGAGAAAGAAGAAGAAGAAGAAGGTATAGAAGTCATCCTTCATTTAGTAATATATCCCTAAACTAACAGCAACCTTTCATCTCTCAGAAAAGAAGAAGGAATGAAGCAGAAAAAAATCTATAAAATATCTTAGTAGATGATTATGGTTATTGGTTTAGTGAACACATAAGTGAGGATAATAATGATTTAGTCATTGAACATGGTTTCCATTACCAAATTTTGTGGCTCTAATAAAGTCACATAAAATTAAGAGTACCCATACATCGAAATGTAGAAGACCATTACGCTAAGAATTATTAATTAAGCTTAAATTCTAATTAAGGTCATTGAATTAAATCTATGGTCCATCATGACAAAAAAGAGGCAAGTTGATACAACCATTTTCATTATTTTTATCAACTTATGCAATTAATTGTTATTTTTTAGTAGTAGATATAGTTTATATAATTTTTAAAATTAACAATATCAATTTAATCATTAATAGTGTTAAAAATTTTCTGTTATCTTTATTGGTATAGCATTTAACTATATTAACGTGATATTTTTTTATTAACACGACATTAAATTTAATGATAATATGATATTTTACGAATGATGCAATGATACTGCTAACATGATATAATTAAACACTCACCTAAATTTTATAAATTTGATGTAAAATTATCTATTATAAGATTGCCATTTTGAACCTTCACGTAATTATATTGATATTGACAGATGATGCATTAACTTTAATTTATGTCAACTTTATTATATTAATTATATAATTTATAATTTTTTGAATATAAGTTCATATTTCATGAGAAGGTTGTTGGGCATTAATACTTGTAAATGTCTATAAATATAGTTACATTATATTTGACTTAGTCAAGGCTGCATTGTTCTGTTTGGTTTTTCTTACGTGATGTTCATGTTAATTATCTCATTGTCATTTTTGGCCCAAAGTTAATTTGATGGCAATCTGACACCGGAATTGACCGAAGATTACTGAAAACCCCATTAAACCCTTCTTTTGGTACAATAAAAAATCCATTAGATGGGCGGCCAAAAGAGTAATGAGATTGGCATTTGGTCATTTCCATTAAGCGCCAGTTTTGGGCTTTTCTTTATTTATTTAATATTTAATAATTACTTATAAACTAATTTTCCCTTTTTTTTTGGTTAAAAACATGTTAATTACCAGTACGCAGTAGAGCAGTTTGCCTTTTTCATAATTATTGCCGATTATTGACAACCATTTCTAGTTGCTAATAATGTTTTTACTCGTTGGCCACTACGCGCCACCGATAACCATCAGCCCTAGGGCCCTAACGACCGTCCCTTTCACATGGTTAATTTGTTTGAATTTGTTTCCATATATTTTTAAAGTAAATTTATAAGGATATAAACATTTAGATATAAATATCTAAAAAAGTTCTTGAGTGAATTTTTTTTTATTTTAAATTGAATAAATTTTTATAATTAAAAATTTATTAAATATTTTAGATCGACATAAAGTTAATATGATATATTGATTTGTTATAATTGAGAATGACATGACATGTCACATTAATACCACGTTAGTAAAAAAATAATAGATATAATTTTAATTAATAATAATTAGTCAATTATTAATTATAAATAATTATTTAATTTAAAATAAAAATATAAGAGTTTAATTGAACGTAATAAAAGAATAAAAACTTATTTAAAATTTTTTAATAGTTCTAAAACTCTTTTAAGTATTAAGTCAATTATATTTATATATGATTATCATATGTTTGTTAAATTATAATTATAATATTAATAAATCAATATAATTATCAAATAAACATATGGATGTGGCCAAAAAAAAAATGAACATGTAATAAATACTTTATAAACTTATTTGTGTAATTAAAAATTCCACCACCGAATCATAAAGATAATTTTCACTCATTTTTTTCATTTACAAGTAATAAAAGCTAATTTCTTTATGCTCTTCATTTTTTTTTCAAGAATGGACGATGAGAAGCATTGAATATTAAGTTAAATAAAATGACGTAGTTGTTTTCCATCTTATAATCTTATATTTTATTTTCAATATTCAATTTGAAAATTATAAAAATATATCTTTGAAAGTTAATAAGAATTTTCTTTAGTTTGAGTTATATATATATATATATATATAGAGAGAGAGAGATAGATTTTCTAGTTTTAAATTTAAGATTCAAATTTAAAAATAAATTCTTTTTGAAATTAGAATTGTTTTTTTATAATATAATTTAAATCTAATAAATCCTTTTATTATTTTAAAAAAAGTAGAGATAGCAATTTGTAAAGTATGTTCTAAGATACCATAAAAAACAGTAATGTTTGTTAATAAAAATTCTTTCCTTGTCTTTTATTGAATAACATTAAATAAGTTAAATTTCTACGAATTTTAAATTATAACTTAAAGCAATAAAACATGCCCGTTCAAGGGGGATCAAAATTCTATTACCCTTACTCATTTGATAAAGCGGTAACATGATAATATAAAATTATATTTTACGAATATTAATTTATATTCATTGGTAATTCATATTTCACGAAACTCGATTTTTTCATTATTGATTATGTTACATAATGACGTAAATTCTCACTTGGAGGTTTATTTTACCTTGAGTTAGCCATATACGAGGTGGATAAGTTCTTAGAAACTTTGCTGTCCTGTTAAACAAGGAAAAATCTGAAGGAACCTATATTTCGGTCTTGACAAAGACATTTCAGGAATTGATAGAGCTCACCTTATCTTCAATTCTTGGTGAAAATCATTCAATGAATCCCCCTTTGTTTAGAGCTTCTTGAAAAAGATCTTTCGGCCACTTGGGCCCATGTTTGGTCATTCTGCAGTCCTGCCTGTGACCCAACCCCTAATTCACTTTTTACAGCCCAAATGCTTATATTCTTCCTTTAGCTGAATCTTTATACATAACACAGTTAAAAAATCATACGGTGATACTAGTGTCTACCCTAAAGGCCTAAGCCGTTGGGAAGAACTATAAATAAAGTCATATTTTTACACCATTCAATCAAATTACACCGCATCAGATCTTTTTCCAATTTTAAAATAGATTGCTTCACACCCAATTAGGAGTGTGAGCATTGTATCTTTTGCTGCTTTTGTGTAATATAAGTTAATTAGTTTTTTCAGTATAAAATTTTTAAAAAAAAATTGTGAAGAATAACTCTCTTAATAAAACGATTTCAAAAATAATCATTAAAATAAATTTAATTATTTTTATCAAAAGTTAGTCATGAGATAACAAAAATATTCTCAAAACTATTTCAAATAAATTAAATGCTCTTAATTTTTGTCTCCATCCTGTTGTGCTCTTTATCTTTCTCTCTTTTCATCTAGATCTTTTTAAATTTACCACCATCACCATATCTTTCTATCTCTTGTCATCTTACCAAATCATTATCGATCTACAGACCAAAGAGTATAGTATAAAATATAATCATATAGTTTTAGATTTATTAGTTTACATTTATAAAATCATCTATTATCGATCTACAGACTAAAACGTATGGCATGGTGAATAACAACAGATTCTTATGTTTATTGGTGTTGAGTTTTTCAACGATTTAAGTATGGTAAAACATATTTTAACATGTAATAAAGTGATTTATGCGTTGGCATGTAACATCAATAGGAAGAAGGAAGCTTTGGCATGTAACATTTGGTACTGAAGTTTGCACCTCAGCTTATAACATTTTCTGCTTTGAATTTGGTGCTTTAGCCTTGGAGTGTAACATTTAGTGCTTAAGCTTTGACTTTGACATATAATATTTGTTGCTAAAGTTTTGGTGTATAACATTTTTTGCTAAAGCAACTAACATCTGTTTAGGCTTGCAATGTTTTTTGTTTTCCTTTCTGTTATTAAATATATCGTGTAACTTGTTCTTTCGTATTTTTATTACAACATAAACTCTTGGAATTTGAATGTGTAACAATTTTTTTGTAACTGTAACAATATTTTTTTAAACATAACATGTAATAATAATTTTTTTAAATATAACATGTATATTATTTTCTATTTTTGTATTTCATTGGGACATAAACTATTGAAAGTAAACACTTTTATGATAAAGATAAAAGTTTAAAATCAAAAAAGGATTTGAAATGAAAATGAATATGTTTTGAAAAATTATTTAAAGTAATAGATTTGGATAAAAAGATATTATCCAAAATCTTCTAAGTTAAATAATTAAGTTTTTGATTATTTTATTTGTTTTTTTTAGTAAAATTAAAATATATTGATATTATAAAGAAAGGAGAGAGAAATCAAATCCATCAAAGCAAAATTGAAAGTTAGTAGATTGGAACTTAGGTAATGAAACCAATGCTCATGACAAGCATGACATTTGTCGAGATCTTGAGCCCTGATCTATCATCTGTGTAAAATTGAAACGTAGTTCCGACAACCCCTTTAGAGGTCACACCTCTTGTCGTTCTGCTCTTCATCATGCTTGCAGCTACAGCCGCACTTCCTCTTAGTGGAGCTGTTCTAGGTGCTATTTTTAAGTCGATTCAAATTTTAGATCGTGTAATTTGAATATAAGGGGATTTCGTTAAGAGTAATTTTATCCAAAAAAATTTTCTCTTGATTAAAAGTAGTTAAAATTAAAAAGATGATTATTTTTTAAAATAACTTATTTTCGATGGATGAAAAAATCATCCCTATTTAAAAAAATTTTAAAATTATTTTAAAAAATTAAAT